TTAGGACCAATTATTTAGACAAACATGCATGGATCCAAAAAATGAAAAATTGTAGAAAAGCAAAATTTTGTCCTCGGTGGGATCCGAACCATCGACCTATTTTTTTTTATTCGTAGAAGCGCGCAGCGAAAATGAACCTCAGTCTTCTGATGCACAAGACCATTTTGAGAAAGCTCACCACGCCCTGAACGACCTCCCTTGTAAGACATGTCCGTACATACACGTCGCGCCTACACGTATCCCGGAGAAGGGGTGGGCGTGGCTGCGTACTTCGTTGTAGTGTGGCGGCCACTACTCTGTTGTGGGATGTCCCGGTTTGGGGACAATTAATCATGTGCTTGTCCAGTACAAGAAAGGATGACAGTTGTTCCAAGGGGGGAGGGGACTACCCATATAATGAACTACGCAACCACTCCAGTCTTCGGGATGTGTGTAGTTCCTGAGCTTTTTTCTCATAGTGAACTCCTTTCAGCTAGATAAACTGTGTCACTGTATCAAGGAACGCGACGACACTCACAAGCAGGTACAGTAAGTCGAGTGGTTCCGGTTACCGTATGCCGACTAACCTCCGTATTAAGATGCAACGGTTTCGTGCTCTACAACGAGTCATTACGACGTACAATCGGCGAAGTACAAAGTCGATCGACAAGCTGCTTCACACCCCGTTACATGTCGCAGCAGTTGAGAACGACCCTCCGAAACCGCGAAAACTCCCTCTCACCGACAAGATAATCGGTCAGGTTCCTCATTTTCTCTCGGAAGAGAAGTGAACGTACAGCCTTGTTTGCTGCGGGTGAAGGGGCAAGCCAGGCGGGATGAGTTTGGCGCGGCGCAGACTCATCCCGCCCGGCTTGCCCCTTCTCTCGCAGCGAACAAGGCTATGAAAGCACTGTCCGCATTTGTCTGTAGTAAATTCTCATTTCCCGAACGGTTCTGCCCTCTTTCTTTGTTTGAAGAATTGTCAAGTGGAATCGTGTACATATGTATAAATTCTTTATTAAAATGTAACCCAACTGAATGATGCGCATCAACTCTGATATATCCTATGTATCACAGGGCACTGTACAAAATACACAACTTTGAATAGCCTTAACATACAATTATAAAAGTATATGACTGGATTTTTGTTATCACATATCGATTATGTTGAACACGTATGGACACAGCTGATTGTTGATTGGTTGGTGATAAGAGAATAATATGGGATTACGGTTTTTATGGGTAAAAGCAACAACTGTCACTCGAATCGTTGGTTAGAATATAAAAGCATCATATGTGTAATCCACTTCGAATTATGCGTGTACCCGATCTAGGATAATGGGTCAATAGGTTCGACCCACTAGTCACAATAACGACGATCGATGTACGCAAACAGTTCTACACCTATGATAATTGATGAGCAAATCCCCGAAGATACCCTAACGATGGTATCAACACTTTGGAGCATTCCTACCCATTTATGCTAGGTATAGATGGATTTGGTAAGACACAAGAAACAAAGAGAATGTAGTGGAAGCAGGCGCGGAATGTACAAACTACGCGATTCAGGGACAAAAGGGTGGCCTGCTTGCAGTGGGTGCACGGTTAAGGGGTCAAGTTCTTGGTAATGAGTCATTGTTAGTACCGTGCCTCAATCGCACGTGTTCTTGCCCATATGTCGTAGGCCATACTTGTTAAGGAAAGACTTTAGAGTCTGTCTACAAGAAAGGGGAGACAATGAATCAATGGAATCTACCCGTATGTGCGCCACTTGCTTTGTGGCATATTTGGTCCTTAGTAATCATGATATGGAGCTTGTCCGTGGATTACCTGTCGAATGACACGATGAGACTACACCGGAATCACCACAATCCACAGGATGTACACCGGTGTCGTCAAGTGGTGCAAACAAGTACAATGGTACCGTACGGTACAATGTGTCACGTGCATCCGATCTACCCAACTCGGCCAGTATCTCGCATAGCCGACCAACGGTTGCATGCTCCGGTTGCTGAATCGCCCATTCAGCTAGGAGCTGATCCGTCCGTGAAAGAGACTGTCCAGTGGAGTCAACCTAAACAGGAAAAGTTGAGGTACACTTGTTGCTCTGCGTCTATGAGGTTTGAAGCAGGATCTACCACCGTTGGCGGATTCCTGACCCGGGTCGTACTAAGTTGCTGGAGGGATAGGGGTCACTCTCCCCACCCTCTATACGGCGGTGCGGCAGTTTTACTATTTCTAGACCGCACTCATACAGGACAGCTTTGAAGAAGTGACGAAACTGTGGAAGGAAGGAAGTCTACGCACTGGTTTGAAGAACCGCGCAATGGTAGAAATGCCGAAATTCCGCAGAAAGAGCATTTTTGCTGGGGCAGGTCTGAGCGATCAATATTCCTGTCATGTCTTTGTCTCTGGGATCAATATTCCTATCATGTCTTTGTCCCTGTCCCCTCTTTGTCCCCTCCCCCCCCAAGGTCGTTCGTGCGGAATTTCGACATTTCTACAGATTCTGCATTTCTCCCAATTCTGCGCTCCCTCAAAACGGTAATTTAAGTAGTGTCCAACTTCTCTCTTCGTAAAACCTCGGCATTGTTGTTACGTTTGATAAGTTCTTCTGTGCACACGAGGTTGGTAGGTGGAACTTTTATTATGGCCTGACGTTTCGACTAGATCGTCTTCATCAGAGGCCCAGTCCACCACAGCGAGAGCGGAAGTGGCCGCTCAGTTAGTTGTTAGTACAATGAATCTGAGCGGCCATTTCCGCTCTCGCTGTGGAGGCCGTAATAAAAGTTCCACCTACCAACCTCTTGTGCACAGAACAACTTATCAAAGGTAATTAAACTCTTACTGATCCAAAGTTTCGTCATTTCAACTAAACCGTTACCTATTCATCCTTTTTTCTGCCACTTTCTTTTTGCTGCACCCTGAGACTTGAGGTAAGCTTGATGTCAATTCAAAACAGGGCGCATCACAGTTGGGGAATTACCACGGGGTCGTATTAGGTGGCTGGGAGCCTTGTGCCGTTGTGCCTTCCCTCCTGGGCAGCGGTGAGACAACTCTCTCCCAATAGATGAAAAGAGCTCCTTCTACCCGTTGATGAATAAGACTTTCTCGGGGTGTTCGCGGTGGGGATCGAATCGAAGTAAAAAATATGGAGGGTCGCATCGTTGGGCAAGAAACATATTTCACATTCTGAATCAGGCATACTGTGCGCCTCTATCGTGGAGATCAGCACCACACCAAAAAAGGAAAGGCAGGTGGCTCAAGACTGCGACGATCTGGCAATAGTAATTTCGCGTGCGCGACCGCCGGCTGAGAACTAGTTCCGGCTCAATGCGGTAATTACACTGAACTCACCTCCGGTACTTGATCCGTCAAGTGCAACTTGACTGCAAGTATCGACCAGTCCCTTCCCATGGCATCGGGTGGATCGAGTAGTGCAGCGAGTTCGCATCTGGTAGTTATTGATAGATCGGCCACGCCGACATCGATTCCTAACGTCAGAAGACGAGCAACTTCACGAGAGCCGAAACAGACGACATCTGTAAAAACGCATTTTAGAAAGGTGTCACGGGAAAAACAGCTTTGTTCAACCACGTGTTACAGTATCTTCTGTGTTTTCTTGTGAATGAAAGCTCTTTCAAGTTAGCAACGGTTTCGGGCCTAAGCCCCTTCTATCAAAGACCCACAGTATATATACACTATAATATCTACCGATCACACTTAGGCTTTCTAATCCCCGCTAAATTGAAACTACTGGCGATACGATATATGCGCGACTTAACGAAATAGCAAAACAAGTTGGTATTAAGTCCAGGAACGGGTATCATTCCTGGAGAACACGGTAAAAGAATCACTGCAAGTACTATTGGATGGACGCGGGAGGGAAGGGGGAAGGCATATGGCGAGGACTCACCTATCTAGCTGTCCACTCTTGCAGAAATGAAGCAGCTAGATCGGTGTTCAGAGCAAGGGGCTACTGCAGTCCGCAGGGGGCATGCGGTGGGAAACTTGCTCGTCTTCGTCCTCCTACTGAGACAATGCCAAATGACGCAAGCGGACGAGGCCTAGTCCTGCGGCACCTAACTCTAGCAGTCATGTATAGTTCAGGACATCCGAGTCGCAGAATCGCGCGCAGACTAGCAAAGCATTTCCTAGGTGCCGTTCAGGACGGCACCAATTTGTCGTGGCTACGATCCCAATCCACGCCCCTCCACCCTTCACAAACCCCCTCGCCTGCAGGGATGATGACTGTACTTGAGTTAGTACTCTGTAGCATTACTTCATCAATGCCCTGGTGCAAATATCGCGCACGTCACAGTACTTGCAATGCCTTTTTGGCCACACTCGCCCGATACGGACGGGCAGAACTGCGCCCCAGATGGACCCTCCGCTGCTGAGAAACGTGTGTAGCGTGCTATATTTTGTGGTACGTGCGGTCACGGGTGTTGACTGCACTTGCTCTCGCACCGTTTCCACGACGACAAGGAAGCCAGCCCGAAATTTTTGCAGCCCAAAATTCGAGTGCCACCGTGGTAGCACACGATTTATGCAACACCTGAACCAAAGGATTTCTTATTCCCTGGCCCGCAAGTTGTACGGCTCGCTCAAGAGTGACAGATTAGCCTGCGTGATAAGCCATCTGTTTTATCACCTTATGCGATTAGCCGATTATCACGGCTAATTATTATCACATCATCCATGTAAATATCGACTTATTGATTCGTTAAGAGCACCTGTGAATAGCTCCTCTTCATCATGGGTTCCTTTAACAGTCAACGATTCTTGTTGTTGCATAGCCATCATTGCTTCTGGTGGGAACGAGGCGGGATTCTTGTGGTGTTCCTGAAAGCACTTCGTTGTCCTATGCGTATTGTGAATAGTTAGGCGCGCGACGCGAGCGCTTGCGGTGCGACATGACCAATGCTTTAATCAATTGAGTCGCACTGCGACCGCAAATGCCTCAGGCGTTTTTGTACAAATATGTAAACAGCAGATAAAACCGCACCTGTAATCCTTTCGGACTTAGGAAATGCCGTTCTAGTCCAATACCCGGAGCCACTTCACTAGCAGTCTGTTCAACCAAGTTCACAACATCTTCGAGGAAATAGAAGCAGGAAGTAGCCCTTTCGGCAGGACCTCGAACTTGGACCTTGAAAGTTGAGATATTTTAAGAGCCAACGTTAAAGCCCAGATCAAACTACATACCTCAACAGCGTCTCCACGTATCCTCACAAGAGCCTCCATTTGACCAGAAGACATTTTACTACAACCAGCCCATTGGATCAAATCCGCATCCATAGGGTCCTAGAAATAGTAGCACTCCAGCGGGAAGCGGCAAACAATCTCAGATTTTAGCCATGAAAGGCCAACCTATTTACCTGGAAGTCATGCATACTACGTCGAAGTGCCACTTGAATCCGCGGGAAGGTGCTCTGTAGAGAACGCTCCATTCCTCGCATAGGATGTACCCGGACGCCTGGAAAAAGATTCAAGAATATTTCAGATATTGGAGTGGGAAACTTCTGGGAGGATTTGTCATGAACCAGAGTCATGTTGAGGCAAGTCCTACATAGACGGGATGCGATTTGGTCCGCTTTTATCGGAACAGAGTTTGCTTTTTCAAATGTCAGGGTGAAGCTATCGATAAAATGTCTTCTGTGATTGGGGTAGGAGATGAGTGCATGGCGCATCGGTAATCGACTTAGGGAGCAAGAACTAAAGTTAGCTCTAATCTTCAGCAAATTACATTTTCTTGCAAGCTATTTTAGTCATATCTCTTCTACAACAGATACCAAATCCCCTAATGGAAATCCATGGCAACTGGAAATCCATGGAATTATAGGACTGAACATCAACAGAAGATAATCTCACGGGATTATTCGCAGTTGATAATAGTTTCTACCAATCCTGTTCTGTTATAGTCGCTCGTTATCCGGTCCGATAAGAAGCAGAAAAAAAACAAGGGCAAAGTTATCGATGCTGATCGATGGCTTTAGGGCTGAACATCACAATTTGACAAAGGGTATGGTAAAGGGTAATCGCATGATGGGCTATACCTTCAGCCTCAATCCGGTGTGATAGAACTGAAAAGCCTTCACACTCTTTCAGAGCGGTTAATTTGGAAGTATGAAGCCAAAGGAATGGGCAAAACATTAACCCAATTTCCTCGTGTGTACGGAAGCATCTCGGTTCGAATCCCGGGTCGACACCCGCCCAGGCCAACCAAGCCTTCTACCCTCCGGGGACGGTAAATTGGTACCAGATTCGTCTGGGAGGATAAAACACTGACTTGTACATCGGCTGGCCCCCGCAAGTCATTGTATAGGCCACATCGCATTCAATAAGCCACTACGATTCTGAATGGAAGTAGAATGCGTGCCGCATCCCACAAAGGGATTGATCAACGGCGAAGACTTTATCCTTATCCTTTATAACGCGCACCAGGATAAGGGATCACCTTTGAAAGCCGAAAATGTTCCTGCCTCTGTTCTCTAAAGGGCAGTTCACGATAAAATACCCTAAGAACGAGTAGGACTAATACGCCTGGCAGGACGGAACTCCGTGATCCTGAGCAAGCACTGCGTAGCACATTTTCCATTGAACGCACTCTCATAAGGGCCCTGTCAACCTACAACATACTGACCCCACCTGGCAGCGGCCCAGAGATGGAAACGAACCGCTCCTGCGCTCAGTATTGCTTTATGCTAACGTAAAGTTCTGCAAGCGAAAAGATTTCTCATGAAGGCGGATCGGGTGTTGTATCAACTACAAGCGTAACATCGCAAAACCGTATCTACCGTCAAGCCGTCCTCACTCCTGGCAAGACTGCCCTTTGCGGAAAATTCGTCGAAACTGCTTTGATCCTTAAAAAACGAAGGCTTTTCTCGACAGGTTTATGCACCGTTTTCTCTTCGTTTTTCGCCATTTTTCCAGTATAGCGCCCTGCTAGCATTTCAGGTCGAGTACCAAATTATCATGCCAGCTGTCTTTAAGCATATTAACCATCTTTTCAAAAAAAATTGAGAAGTATTGGAACATCCGACAAAAAAAGCGAAAGTAGGAAAAAACTGCTGCTACATCTACTACCAACTTTTTGCGCGTGCTCGCGTCCCCTTCGAGTGTCCAAAACGCGCCCTTATACGTACCCCCAGAGATACGGGTACCACCCCCCTGCTCATACCCACAAACTCCCCACGCTGCGTGCACCAATGCCCCTGCGCTAGCTCCGTGAGACGCCATAAAAGCTGTCTAAGACCATACTGTTCAGCCCCGTCCATCAAACTGAGGGAGTGCCGATGCAGAGGAAGTCAAACGTTCAAACGCGTTCTGCGCAGCTTGCGCCTTAGAGCTTGTCATTTTGAACGATTTCATGATCAACTAGCCCAACGCACGAAGCAGTGATCACTAGCCAAGAGAAGAGTGGGTGTCGGGGGTGCCGGTCGAGAGGTTCACGTTGCGGCGACGCGGCGAAAGTGGCATTGCAAGCAACGTCGAATGAAATTCGCATCAGAATCTAACTACTTTGAATATAGCCCACAGTGTTCCGAGCCAGGTAACCAGAATAGTGACAGGGTGGATCTTCCGACCAGCTCCTAGATAGTAACTGTGAAGATCTCTCACCTCCATAGACGTAGGTGGATTTGTTGCGAGTCCACACATCAGGTGATTCGGTGGCTAGTATGAAAGCAGGAAACTCGAATGTCTCTTCGGAATCCGGTTCAGCTGGTGCACACAGCTGGAGTACGTCCAACATCCGCAAAAGATCCGTTGGCTCGGGGATCTCCGGAAAGATGGGCGCGAAGTGCTCCAAGGAGTAAATGCCGTTGATTCTAGAATGGCAAGGAGATGAGAGAGCATTAGCTAACCTCTGAATGCTAAAATATAATCGGTCAGTATCTCGAGAAAAAGCCCACTGCTTCGAAGTTGTACCCTTCTAACCGAAAACGAAACAGCGAAGGTCGAGTTTCTGGAGAAGGGAACTACTTCAGCTCGCTACGGTACGCTCGAAACGTACCGGCATCTGGAAAGGAATTCAGCGCTGAGCAGCTGCCCAATAATATGCGTACCAAGCCATTCTGGATTCAGCACAACATAGTCCATTTCAGCTGTTTCGTCCCGCAGATATACCACCTGGAAATATCATAATATTGGAGGAAACCAGCGATCACCTTCCAATTCTTGGAACTGTTCATTTTATCAAAACGTCTCTGACCTCTCCAATCAGCTGGAGTTGCTGAATAAGCTGCCGGCAGTGCGCATCCCCGGTGAGCGGATTTACGTCCGTTCGGACTATGGAGGCAAACGTCGGCCACGAAACTACCGGGAAATTGGCGTGCTGCTTACGCATCGATTGCAGGTACGGCATCGTGGCGTCAAGAAGTCCGATCGGTTTTTGCAGACGCTGAAATTCAAGCTGTAGAATAATCGTGAGCAGAGAAACAATAACAAGTAGCTAAATCACGGAAATTAAAGCATATGATGGATTGTGGGCATTGTGATTGCGTTGCTATAGCAAAAGCGAACCTTTTAGTGTAAAGTACCGGAAATAGTCGCATAATCAGGAAGGCGGAAACGGAAATCATGTGTCCTTTACGCAATGGGCATGGGAGTTGCACATCGAGGTGCTAACTACTTGCTGTCTGGCTAATGTCGAACTTACCGAAATGATGGTGCTTCTGGTCTCCTTCAGGTAAGCCTTCAACGCCCTCATTCCAGCACAAGATGGATTCGTCGAGTCGAGGAGCAGCAGCTTATCACAGATATCGAAATGGGTCTCGAAACGGAGCCGTACCGTCTTCAACATTGCTTCCGTGTCTGACGACTCGAATTCGCCTGAAATGAGACATAAGGGTCTCACAATGAAAGTGACGGAAGCATATGGAAACAATGAGGGCAGGGCACATCGTACGTTGGGGATCTCCGTCCAGGGAACCGCACTTGGTCATTGGCGGGAGGAAGAGGTCGCATTTGCTTTGAAAAAAATGTTTCCGGTCGTTGCCTTTATCGGTTTTCCTGCCAGAAGCGCTTTCCGCCTCTCGCACACCGCTAGACGGTAGGTTTATTTGTGGGAATACTGGAGAATTTTGGGAAGAAGAGCAGCAAAAAGATAGCAAATTGAAAGAATCTAGGGAGGGAGGTGGTAGCCAGTATGGCGAATGGGGAATGAGTCGTACCAAAGGAGGAAATTTTGAGAGGGGGGAGGAAGGCGTATCTTGCAAAAGTGTAGAATAGGTTGCCCTGAGTGTGGCGGTGGTCGCGTGACGGTGAAAGGCCAACGTCGCTATCGGTTCGGCGCCCGATTCCTTGATTGGGACTCGGCCTGGTCAACAAACTTATCTTCACTTATGGGTTAGTTGCTACCCGGGGCGTCCGGTAGAATGAAAACACTAATCTCCACATCGGCTGAACACCATTTTATAGGCCAGATAGTCCTCAAAAGGTGACTACGACGCTGACCAGGCGAAGTCGACATTGCGTGGCATGTTGCCAAGGCGAATTATCGGAGCCTCTCTTCCCTTTGTCAACCTGATGGCCATTTCCTAGAGTCAGTTTCAGGCAAAAGCCCAGAAAAGCTTTAAAAACTGCTCATGAAAAACCCTCCCGTGATAGGATCATGGTTTTCTACACCCAAACTTTCCCATTCAGATGAGGCTACTTTGCCCTACAACCAAGAATGTTGTAGAGTGGAAAGACTCACCGTCGGAATTTTTCGTTGGGAAAAGTGCTGGGGTAGCGTGCGTTCCAACAATCACCACCTTTGATCGTCGGGAGATGATTCCACAATGTCCTAAAACAGTAAAATCAGCAGAGTTTCAGGTAATCATTAGAAAAACGGGAAACTGCGAGCTGTTTCCAGTGGATTTTTCTTTCTGGAATATCAATTTTTTCATACCGATAGGCTCAGTGGGTGTGACTCGTCCTTTGAGGAAGTTCATCCAGTACAAAACCTGTTTGTACTGTTCTTCCGTACTGTCGGTGGCTTTGAACAGTACCACATGAATACAGTCGGTGTTGCCAACGAAATGATCGTAAGCCATGTGGTAAGGCTCATAACCGCCAAACTCCCATACGGAAAACTCGCCACATCCTGGAATGAATCGATATATCGATTTCTCTCACTGGCAAGAAATTCAATTGTACTCACCGGCGCAGTTGATATTTTGCACGTCGATTCCCCTTGTATATGCTGGATGGGCAGGACACTGGACGAGATTCATGCACTGCTCGGACGAGTTTAAGTGTTATGGATTCTGAGAGAAAGATGAGGCCTTTGTCCGCGAGTGGATTCCAATCATCTTACGGGAATTACTTTAGTTTGGAATTTTAGATGAAAGTCGTCAGCTTCTTGAAGTTGCGTCTTTTGAAAGTTGGCCGGTGAAATCTTTCTATGTAGTCCTGGCTGAGCCTTGTCAAGAGTTACCAAATAAAGGGGTATTTACGGCTCAACAGGTTTATGGATAACTAGACGGCCACTGGAACCCCCTCCCCACTCACAAATGAGCCAGTAGAGCTACTCTTTGGTCCCAGCACCACACACTCTCGGGTCCAAATTTCAGAATTTAACGGCCAACGCGAAAGAAAACCACGAAAGCCAGCTGCTCGGCGTCCTTCGCCAATGGATTCTTTCGAATTCCAAGGACAAGAATCAACCAGAAAAGGCGCTGTTGTCCGGCGGGGTTCGGGCGCATTTTGCACTTTCGCAGCTTCACTAGTTCCGATTTGCAAGTCTTACTCCGGTAAACCTGTGAACACTTGTGTAACTGGAGCAAGCTCTTCCAGCCACCATGATAAAACCTGTCAACTCTCGCAAGGCTCTCTCGATGGTTAGACACGTCTATGGGAAGCAGCAAAAGTGCAAAATGCCCCTCCCCTCCGTCGCCAAACTGCGCCCCAGAAAACTTCTATAAGTGATTTAGTCGAAGAAGCTTACCTTTATTCATCGTATTACTTGGACTGTAATGGTCGGAAATTCGGCGCGAAACCGCATCTGAAGGTAAATTCTTTAGAAATGTGGCGTAAGCTCCTGAAACGAAAACAAGATGTACTGTACCGATGATTGTCGATGTAATTCCTCGCGTGGAATGGAGTGACTGAATCAAGCGCGATTTTCCTGTTTGTGAATGTCCAAACAATTTCAGTTTAATTCGTCTGAGTGGAGCATGAAGTGGACAAAGCTGATCGATGAAGTTCTCTCGCACACTGTCCTAAAATTGCAATATTTCGCTCCATTTCACCATGAATATTGGTGTTTTCATATTCAGTCATTCAGTATTTATAGTCTATCGGTTCCCGTTCGTTAATGGGTTGAAAAAAGCATATTTGTTCTTGTGCATTTCAAAACAGTTTTTGTCGCCATTATCAATGCTGTTAAGAGCATTTAGAAAGTCCCCCGATAGAGGGAGGAAAGCTCTACAGAGCCGCCAGAATCAGATGGGCAACTGGCAGATGTTTCTGAAAAACAGAAGTCAAGACATGAAACGAACCGATTTTATTTTTGAGAGAAGAGATGCCACATGTGTGTGTTCAGAAGCCAAGGCCAGTATCTCAGCGGTAAGACCGTCCTGTAAAGGCTGTTTCAAAAATCTGCTGAAAATGCCACCGTATAGGCGGAATAGCAACATGAAGGCCATCTCATGATCATAGCGGGAGGCATGGCGCATCAGTAGTCCAAGCAGGGTACAGCATCGTGATGTGTGAGGTAGTGGTGTAGGTACGACCCTCCCCTCCGAGAGAGGGTGTCAGTACGACCCCCCCCCCACCTAAATGAGGGTCTCGGTACGACCCCCCCCCTTCCCCAACACCTACCTACAAATTTCCCCCATTTTCCAGTTTTTTTCACCCAAAAATTTTCCGTCGAGGGGGTATATAGTGCACATGAAACAGGAAAAATCACGCAAAAAGTCAACAACCGGAAAACCAACGCGACAAATTTCTCTCAAAGGCACATACGACCCCTCTCTCTCCCACCAAATACGACCCCCCTCCCCAGAGAAAAAGTACGACACCCTATGTGTTTCACACAACGATGCTGTACCCTGAGTCTAAGTCCAAGTGGCAGCAAGTAACGCTAGCATTTCCGAATTATTTCGCTCTTCATACTACTAATTTTGACTTTACTAGAGAACATCCCATCAGGGACACTGATGGTATGAAGGCTAAGTATGAATGCTTTCTTCTACGAATAGACCCTCCAATATAAGGTTCAACTCTTTTCTGAAAGAGCTTTCACTAACTAGGGAAGAATTGATGGCTGTTTTTCACAAAGAGCCGATTCTCTTGAGATTCCAAAATAGCTCACCTTGGTTTTTCTGGCAACATTCGATTTAGCCAGACAAAGTACCCTTACAATGTCGAGGAATCCCTCTCGAGCGGCTAGATGGAGCGGAGTCAGGGAGTCCTGAAACAGGTCTAA